ACTGTCTGCAAATGTGTTTGGTGTATTTGTTTTTTTTTAATTCCTTTCTTCCAACGCCGCAAAATAATGAATTTTTATCGTTATGTCTTTAAAGCTATACCCACACGATTCAAGAATTAGTTTTTACGAAGGTTTATTCACACGGTGTAGGGATAGAGAAAAGATATTAAATTTTAAATATAGCAGACAAAAAAATAAACCGAAGTTCGCGAAATCGATATCGAAATGTGAAATCGATATCAAATTGGGAAATCGATATCGAAATGAAGAATCAATTCCGAAATGATAAATCTGATGATGGGAATGGAAATTCGATATCGGAAAGTTAATCGATATCGAAAGGAGAAGTGGATATCAAAATGGCAAATCAATATCGAAATAGGAATTCGGTATGAAAATAGAAATTCGATATGGAAATAGGACAATTATTACTGGTACATTACTGCTATGTGAATATTAGTGATAAATGTCATTCAATTTGCTTAATACGACACAATATTTTATTTCTCAGATATTCATTTCGCATTTTAAGTAGCATTATGATGTTGACAATTTTAATTGTGTGACTATTGATTATATACTTTAATTTACTGTAGAGCTAATTGTTTAATGTAGCAATTTTTTCTTCCAATTACATGGATTGATTATCAAAATAAGAAATCTTAATTAACTCTCTCATTATTATATTTATCATTATTATAACAATTACTCCATTAAAAATAAGTAATAATAATTTATCCAATATTTTAAAAAAACAGCCCTTCTGGAGTGACAAATACTAAAACTTGTGATTATGAAATCCTTATTTATAAATATTAAATTATTTTTTGTCATCAGAAATATCAATTTTAATTTCAAATATTATTTTAAAAATTTTCTGTGTGTACAACTTTAAATATATATATATATATATATATATATATATATAGAGAGAGAGAGAGAGAGAGAGAGAGAGAGAGAGAGAGAGAGAGAGAGAATATAAATATATAATATATATATATTTACTTTAATATAATATAATAATAATTATATTAAATTATATATATTTTCTATGTGCCTCTGCACAGGCGGAATATAAGGAAGTATCACCTTTTTTTTCTGATTCGGATTTTACACAAACGTCTGTGTCTATCGAACATATCTACATCACCCATTGATTTATTGTATTATTTTACCACGCCTGACATTGGAATAGTAATCCTTAATAGTGGCGAACATTTTTTAACATTATTGGATTTATGAATACATGACCTTTATATCATGACATAGAAAGTTTCTCATAATCTCAAAAGTTTTCTGTGTAAATTAGCTCACAATTTCACATTTTCAGAAACGCTGAACATTTTCTTAAAAACGGCTCCAATTTTTTCTTCAAACATTTCGTTCATATAGTGCTAATTGCAGTCTCTGAGATGTCAAAGTCTTTGAGACTTCATTTTGCTGTATTTTTACCAAATTGAAGAAACCCTTGTCCATCTAGATCGAGTCAAGACTTTGAGATTTTGAAACACATTCTTCAAAATTTGGGGGTATTTTGGTGAAGCCCTCCGGAAATTTCCAAAAGTTTCTCAGCAACCGCTTCATATTTTTCTTTAAATTTCATATAAGCGTAACACACACTTATGAACAAGGCATAGGTCCGATTTCCACAGTTAACTCTGAATTTTCGAAGTGTCGTCCTATGGCTACAAAATTAAACATACACTTTTTACTTTGAAATAAATTTTATTCTCCATTGTAAGTTCTTTCATTAAGATCATGTACATTTTTTAAAAAGTTTAGTAGTTTTCGCGCAATATTGCGTGCAATATGTTCAATGTTACAAACTTACAAAAAAAAGATTTCGTCAAAAACGGCTCCCAATTGTTTGTTTAAACATTTGGAAGGGATAGTGCTAAACGCACTCTATAAAATGACATACACACCATATTGCTCTATTTTTGTTTCGCCAAAAATTACAAAATGTAATTTTTTTTAGACTTTCTCATGTCGTTAATATTTATATTAGCAGCAAGTTGTTCACATTATTGTATTTATAAGTTAATGTGATTAAAATAAAGACAAAGTTTCTCGAAAACTCAACCGTTTTCTGTGAGAACTCAAAATTCTACTTTCAAAGACGCTGACACGCCATTTTCTCAAAAACTACTCCAATTTTTTTCTAACATTTCGAACTGATAGTTCTAAATGTACTCTTTAATATGACGAAAAGTTCATTTTGGCGTTTTTTGTTGTTTTTTCATAAATTAAATTTTTGAAGTATCTCTTACGCAGTTAATATGCACATTTCAAGATTCCATGTCCAATTCACACTTCCATGTGTAAATACTATTGTATTTGTGAATTAAATTACATAAAATGACTTGAAATGCAGTTTTTCGAAAAATAATAATTTTTTTATGATAAGCTTTTAAATTTTGAATTTTCAGTTGCGGTTAAACAAGTATTTTAAAACGGTTCCAAATTTTTCAAAGAAAATTGCCATTAAGGGCGAGAGTTTAATATGAGAGTGTAGACTTCCGCGGCCAGAGTCAGTATTTACTAGGCTGTCCGGGTGACGCCGCGTCCATGGCGAAGGTGCCGACGTTTCGGTCGCCATTCTGCGACCTTCCTCAGGGCGTAATGCTAAGTATTACGTAAAGCATTACGCCCTGAGGAAGGTCGCAGAATGGCGACCGAAACGTCGGCACCTTCGCCATGGACGCGGAGTCACCCGGATAGCCTAGTAAATAGATAATTTAATACACTTGAATTATCTTAAACTAATACTTGTGTTCTACAATTAGGAAACAGAAAAATTAAGAAAATGTCAATATATGATTTTTTGGGCGTCGATAGATGGCAGGCGGCAAGAGTACGTGGCAAGAGTAGCTAGCCGAGACCAAAGGAATAGGAAAATTATTACAAGTAAGTCTGTGTCATTCTGTAGCACCACTAGTTTTAATATCTCTCAAGACGTGAATATCCACATTTCTAGCGACTTGTAAACACTAATGCATTGGTGAGTTAAAATGCCTCAAATAATTTTAAATGAAGTATTTCGAAACCTCAAGAATATTGTGTGAAAAAGAGCTTGAAACTTGGCATTAACAGCAACGCTTCAATGCAATTTTCTTAAAAACGTCTCCGAAGTTTTCATTGAATATTGCTATTTAGTCCGTTTTACTAATCTTGAATATTCTTACAGGAATATTTCGGTTCTACAATTAGGAAACTGAAAAGTTAAGAAAATGTCAAAGGAGCAAGACCCTAATGCCAGTCTACACCAAAGCCATTAGAAAACTTTACTACTGTGGCCGTCTTCGGTGCTCGGGCTAACGGATTTGCGTCAACCGGCAACTTGCTGGATAATACTTACCTGTCTCTTCATAGCTTTCCTGCAATTTTATATGTTGCTAAAGAATGGGATCATTGAACGCCAAAAGGAAGCCGTTTGATCAGGGAACAATTAGGGATAACAAGTGTATCCAGAAAGAACGTTCGCCATAGAAAATTTAAGTGCATTTTTAATTTAAAACTAAACCTTATAACTAAATAAAAATAACAAATCCCTTTTACAGACCGCGCCATTAGCTATAAATTGAATTTATTTCTACTTAAAAAACATGTGTGTTAAGAATTTATTTCTTCTACACTACAAAAATTTCCATAGACATCATAGCCGTCCATTTACCATCGTTGTCCAGCCAGTTGGGGCATCGCCCTGAAGCAGGTGCACGCCGCCTGATTCAAGAGGGTGAGCACCCTCTAACGCAGCAGGGCAGCACGCGCTCTCAGCCAGCGGAAGAAAATCAGGCCTTGACCGTCCAATCCCGAACACGCGTTCACCGCAGGGCACGACTCGGATGCTCTCCGCGATGCCAGGCGCGTCTCAACGCTCAATGCTCGTTCGATGGTGACGAGGAAATTTCCGTAATTTAAGGGTGAGCAGAGCTACCTAGAATACGCACGTCACATTCCTGTGAAATTTCAACAAGGTCCGCGATCTTGAGTAGTTACGGGTGACTCCTTGTAGAAATCTGAAGATCTCACATCCACCCAAGACGGAAGCAAGAGAGCAAGTGTCTTTTCGTCCTAAGAGCAAATTTAAGATTAATTTTCGAAGGCAGCCTGGAAGCCTGACCGACTTCAGCAGAGCAATGCGGAGCGAAAGTTGCTGAACCAATCATGTTCCTACATGGGTGATGTTACTCTTGATTTGCTGCTTTCACATATTATTCCTTAGATCTCCGTGTGGGAGGCTGGCAACAGTCGCATACTCAACAACGAAACGTATTCGAACCGTTGGAAATTTTCTACGCCCACGTCCGCTAGTCCAGGGGTGGAGTTCAGTGTTGAAGTAAATAATAGTTTTGCGATGTCCCTCACTACGAGAAAATCTGTGCAATTCTTAGCACCAGTAGTTTGACATATCTAGTTGGGTTTTAGAGATGTTCTCATTTTCTAATTTTTAATATGTTGTAATATAAATATAAATTTATGTTATTTGTATTATGATGTTAGACATGATATAATGATGTTAGAGAGATGTAACATATATATATATATATATATATATATATATATATATATATATATATATATAACCTTACCAACTGTTCCATTAAAATTAACCATGAAAAATTACCATGAAAAAATAATATAGTTTTGTATTTAACTGATTTATTTGTATCTAAAAAACTGTTTGGTTACTGTGCGAACTATTCATACAATTCCACAGCGTTTTTCACATTCTAAGATGAGTTATAATGCGACTATGTGACGAGTGCGATGCGCCATGAAATTACATTTTATGAACGATTTGCAACAGAAAAGGTAGTTTATAATGCTGGTATACCAAAAATGCATTACACGACGCATTTAACAGTCTCATACTGTAATGAACAATTTTTTTGCCATACAACAGAACAACAGTACAATGTTATTCATGTTGTGGTGCAATTGTGTTTTATTGCGTGATATTGTATTTTAATACGAAATTAATTGGCTTATGGTCGTACTTAATTAATTTCAACAAGAACCACCGCTGCAGGGATTAATAAAATAAACTATATTGAACTTAAACAACGTTTGGTTCAAATTTGTCACCAATTTCTTGAGGTAAAATTAAGTTTAAATAAGAGTTAACGAATGTTAATTTATACAAATAATTATCTGCTAAATCATGGTACACTTGTATCACAAAATGTGATGGAGGGGGCAGATTGATGACCTCTTCTTTCTACCTGTTCCGCACACTGAATAAGAACGGGAAGTGTAGGTCTTGAAGGAGATGGCAGGTCACCAGCAGATAAGCTACTTTCCACAGCACATAAGGCTCTTTGACGCAAGTATTGACAGTGCTTGTAAGGAACAGGATTTTGTAGCAACAGTGGTGACATAGTGTCACATCGAATCAAATCTGGTGTCTCGAGAGTTGGAACACCTGTGGGAAACATAGTCATCAGTAAATAGCGCAAAAATCCTCAAATGGTGTATAAAATGCAATACAGCGTTACTGCTATTTATTTTGTTTTGTAAAATAATACAATATTTACAATTTCGTACTACGTAGTTGTAGAGCTCAGTTTTCTGTGAAGAATGTTTTCTTTTTTTCATGATGGCGCGGCGTGCCGAAACGTTTCATCAGTGATATTAATTTAATAATTTTGATATCGGAATGAGTATTAAATGAGTTGATGACAATCTTTCATTCCGTCGGAACTTAGACATTATATTGTCCTCATGCAATTTCTCGAGTGAAAAGATATAGACAAATATGCAAACACATTAAATTATTTTTCACAATCTTGCTCAAAAGTACTGAAATTATATATTATTTTAAAATTCTATACGGCTTCATCTAATGAACTAAAAAAGAGGGATACATTTGTTTTGAAAAATAAATATGTGGCGTTAGTAATAGAGATGCTGGACAGATTTAAATCATTTTTAAACTTTTCCAATTTTAAAAGTTTAAGAAGATTGAATAAAAGTTGAAAGTACAGTATTTTATAAAAAACATTCCCCTCAATTCGACAAAACATATTAAGACAAAATGTTTCGTCAGTCTCCAAAACATTTTGAAAATCACACAAAGGTTCACGCAAAGGTCTACCAAAATTTAAATCATTTTCGTAATCAAGGTGTTTAATTCTGTGACGAAGCTCCAAGGTCCTCCCTATCCCTACCTCTCAGAAGCTTTTTAAAGCTAGCAACGCCCAAAAACCAAAGTCAACCAAACTACATCCAAAGGTTTAGGGTAGTTTGAGCTTACTTAAATGCTATATTCCCGAATTTTAGTCTCTTTTGGATATCCCAAAATCGCGGGCGCTGCTAGCATTAAACTGAAACTAGCAGCCTCCACCTAAAACTTAACTAAAATCTATTAAACATTTTGAAACCACGTCCAAAATTTAAGGCTAATTTTAGGCTCTAAGAAAAAATTATTGCCACCTTTTTATTCCAAAAATAAGAGCTATACAAAGAGAAACATTTATCATTGGTTCTAATGTGAAAATATACAAAAAATCAAAGAACCTTAGAAAATTTCTCAAACCCTAACAGATATGTAAGGCTAATTTAAGGCTCCAGGAGCAAATATTTCTACATTTCTATTCCAAAAATAGGACTGTAAAAAGAGAAACAATTAGTATAGGTTCTTATGGGCAAATAAACGCCAAAATAAGAAAAAGATCTTCTGAAATCGTATCCAAAGTTTAAAGTGAGTGAAGCTCTAGTAAAAAAATTAGTTCCGCATTTTTATTCCAAAATTCAGGGCTGGACAAAGAAAAACAATTATAAATGTTTCTTATGGGGTCGCTGTTTGTAATGGTTACGTAATACGAGTATTGCACGGTAATTCCCGCCAATATTAGAAATAGGGAACTCATTATTAGAATCAGGATTTCGACGCTAATTTTATATTTAATACAAAATTACGCATGCACACGTGTACTAACAAATAGCTACACATGCACGATGCAGTTCAAAAGTTAGAAAAACATCTACAATCGAATTTCAGTTCAGTATATTTTTTGTTATATTACCTTTTGAAACCTTGAGCGATTAACAATTTTTCAAAATGTTACTCTGTCAATTTCATCATTTTGTCTTGAATGTTAATTATACCTAGAATGAAAATATCACAACAATTTTGAAACGAACTACTATTCACGAATTATACAGGGGTGACTTAAGAATTTTGATGATGATGATGATACTGGTGACGAGTGTTTTCAAGCACAGAAAATTCTTGCCACCTGATCAGACGTAATTGGAGCATACTTCAAAACTAAAATCTGAGCCATTGTGAGGTCGAAATCCGCATTTTCTGATTTTTAACCATTTATAAAGTTTATTATAATTTTGAACTTTTTAAATTATGATTTGAATTTCACTCTTCATAAAATTCCTCCTTGGCCAGTTACACTCATGCCTATAAACCAGTAATTCCTAAGAACTAATGTCTTGAACAACTTATTACACCACTAGATGTAAACATTTTTCTAATTTCTGAACTACTGTTAGAAAGTTTACAAACATTGATTAAATATAAAGTTTTTTTAACTACAATATTTCTAATATATTTCTTTACATTTTTTTATTTTGGACACTCCAGCGAACTGCAAGGCCTCACTTGATTATTTTCCCCTCCCATTGTCAGTAAATTCGTGATAATGAATTATTTTCAATGTTTTAATTGTTTCCATGTGATAATGTTTTTCTTCCAATGTCTTAATTATCCTTTGTGAGTAAATTTCTTGGCTAGATTCATTTCGCAATTCTTCTTCACAAGACGAATACTAGCATACGAAATTCTTGCACGTGCGCTGCAGAATTAAACTTTCTAGTAAAGCAACTGGAAAATACAACTATTGGAATCTCTAACTACTAGAAATTTATGTTAACTGTGATTTATGTTAAATATGATAAAAAAACTTTCTAGAGCCTCAAATTAGCCTTAAATTTTGCCCAGCTCTTCATATTTGTTTTGTTTTTTTGATTTTTCTGTTCACTTCCATTTAAGTAGTGTTTAATATGATTATCTCTATACAGCCCTGATTTTTGAAACAAAAATTAAGTAATAATGTTTTCCTAGAACCACAAGTTAGCCTAAAATTTTGGGTTGGCTTGATTTGATTTTGAATAATAGATTTTTAGGAGGGCGCTTCTAGATTTGGTCTAAACTACCAGCGCCCAAGATTTCCGGAAATCGAAAAAAGGCTAAAATTCAGGAATACATCATTTCATTAGTCTCAAATTAACCAAAAAGTTTGGATATAGTTAGGTTGAAATTGATTTTTGGCCGCTGTTAGCTTTAGATAACTCCTCTCTCTTAGTAGTAGACTTAAAAGAGATTATTCTCAACGCAGATAAAAAGTAGTGGTGGTAAAAGAGCATGTACTTTGAAACCTTCGTAATGATTATATAATACTATTTATACCACAATATATCTCCAAATTAACACATATGTCATCTTTTTTGTGAAACGTAGTTGAAATTGTGTGAAAATTAAATAGTTTCAAGTAATATATACTTTTTTATTTAAAAAAATATATATTTGTGGCATTGAATTCCTTGTATAAGATATGAGGTGTATTCACGAACATAACCGAAGAATTCTGACCATTCTGCGTAAGCAGAATGCGAGAAAGTAAAATAGTAAACAATTAGTAAATAATACGATATCGATAGCAATGACAAACAAATGCAAATAGATCAAAAATATTTAAGAGTCAATATTAAAAACTAAAGTACTGTAATATTCTCCAAATATGTCCGTTTTAACCCGAAATGCACGTCACGTCTAGTCTGAACATGCAATGTAAATGCTCTACACGTTTTCACACGTCAGAAAATTTTCAAAAATAGATTTTACTAATGCTACTGTATTACTTCTACTAAGTAAGAGAGTAAAGAAATTACCCAAGCCCACCGCATTACCAACAAACCAGAAGCATGCATAATAATGTGGTAAATGTAGCGAGAAGTTCAAGACAGTCAATAAAGCTGTTGGCTGCAATTGAGTCTCTTGTCAGTGGTTTCACAAAGACTGTGTAGGGGTAACAAAAGGAGAATAGTACAATCCCACGTGGTCCTGCAAGTCGTGCAAAGAACGGGTACATCAAAAATAAACCACAGACGAACTGTAGAAACACAGGTTCATGCAATCAAGTGCCATGTAATCAAGAACAAATATCGAAAGGAATAGTGAAGCTCAGAGACATTTGTAGAGAAAATCAAGGAACTGAAGGCTGAAGTAACTAGACCTGTATAAGAGAACATACCTCTCATTCGATTCGTTTCAAAACCAACTTGTGAAAAACAGACGCCACAAAACTGAGGAAGGAAAAGGAAAAGAAAAAAACACCGCAGCAGGAAGTACACGGAGCGAAAGGAAGGCAAAGAAAAAGAGAAAGCTAGAACAAACTGATGGAAACAATGAGCTGTTGACACAAATGTGGTGCCGGCCAAATGAAAGCATTACTGTACGTCAGACGTTTCAAAGACACAATAACTGATGAGAATGTTAAGGAATACCTGACAAAAAAAGCATAGAAGGAGAAATCTCATGCAAAAAACGTCCCAACAAAAGTCCAGAATATTGCGTACAAGTTAGAAACCCCGATCGTTCACCTTGAAGTCGGAATAGCAGAATTCTGGTTGGAGGGCTTAGCAGTGCGTCGGTACTTCTTTGGCCATTTCTCCGAATACCGAGAAGTCGGTCTTGAATAAACTGCCTCAAGTAGACGCTAGAAAGAAAAGGTTAAAGTCCGAGATCCAGAGAAGTCAACGAGTAGAAATGTAAATTAGAAAGCAGCAGACAGAGTTAAACTTCTCAATATATAATATCGAAGGAGCAAAGAGCGTACTCCGGCACACGCCGGCTCTTTATTTGAAGAAGACGTGGTGTTATTAACAGAAAGGTTCTTGACAGAACCCGTGCACACCACAGGCGTGCTTGTATTCGTGAGCTGAGAAAAGAATGGAACGGATGATGGCAGGAGAGATATTACGATTGTTGAAAAACTTCCAAAATGAAATATACGCAAAAAGAAAACTTTTCAATCTCACGATCGCTACCAGTCGCAGCTTGTTTCCGCTCGGCCACAGGCTTTCAAACGTATTGTGACGTCATGGATACTCACAGCGAGCTTTCGTATAACAAATATATTTATTAACAAGAAAACAAAACAAATATATACACTTAATAATCTACTTAAACCCTAGCTCTGATAGACCTACTATCCCCTGATCGCGGGAGCGATCCAAAACCCGATTGAAGATGGTTTTGATTGTGGCATTCGCCACTCCTACTTTTGAAGCGCGCACAAAGCCTAGCTTCCGTGACCGGATGTCACGCTGGGACACAAAGTCCGTTCTGGCGCACCAACGGCTGGTTTGCCTCGATCGCAGGAGCGATCTTATCCGATTGAGAATCGG